TGTGTGTGTGTATGTATGTATGTGTATGTATGTGTGTGTGTGTGTGTATATATGTATGTATGTATGTATGTATGTATGTATGTATGTATGTGTGTATGTGTGTATATGTATATATGTATATATGTATATGTATGTATGTGTATATATATATTTTATGAAGAGAAAATAAATATGGGCACCTTGAAATGAATCCCAAAAAATTAAATTAGCAAGTGCCATGAAGATGAGGAACTGTCTCCTCAAAAGCAGGCTATCAACCCTGAAGCTGATCTGGCCGCAGCCATTTTGATGCTTCAGTGTTGCCACACTGGAGCTGAGGGATAGGGAGGGGGGGATTAGAGATAGCTGGAGTTGTGTAGTCAAAACAAAATACTTTTCCCGGGGAACCAAGGACGTTCTCATGTCTGGCCGGAAGAAGGGGGAGTGATGTCATCAGACCAGCAGATGCTGCAGTGATTGGGCCATATGACTGATTGAGGGAAAAACTTTTACTTTTATTTAGGTGAAAACCAAGGGGCCTCCCAGAGTTGGTTTTCACCAGCTATGTGCCAATTTGATTTTTCCAGTAAAGCTATTCTTTGAGGAATCTACCTGCCTCGGGAGTCTTCCTTGCAGTGGATTTATTACTTGGAACCCTGATACAGGACTATTATAAAATAAAACAGCTGGCTTGAACTAGACAGTTCTGGCATTGGTGCACACTCTTTTCACTTGAGCACCGTTTCCATCTCATTCTGGCAAATAAACGGAGCATCTCCTTTTGGGCAAGAATTGCATTGGATACTTTTTGTTGTTATGTCTTTCCATGTTTCATCCCAGGATCCCGTCCCCAGTGGATTTTCAGCAGGGGATGTATTGATCCCTTTAGCGGATGAGTATGATCCGATGTTCCCGAACGATTACGAGAAAGTTGTAAAACGCCAGCGAGAAGAACGGCAAAGGCAGCGCGAGCTGGAGAGGCAGAAAGAGATTGAAGAAAGGGAGAAGTGAGTCATCAACATCCCCCTCCCAGGGTCACGTGATTAAAATTTAGTAACTTGGTTCTATCAATGTGTTGACTTGACTTGAATTGTATTTGCACAGTATTGGAAAAATGAGGGAACTCCTACAGATGAAAGCATAATTTTAAAAAGTATTAGACACTGTGGAAATGTTTAATAGTTAAGGATAAAGAGGATACAGAATACTTTTTAACATGGGATTTGTTTTACAAATGGCTAGATCAGGGGTCTTCAAACTTGACAGCTTTAAGACTTGTGGACTTCATCTCCCAGAATTCCTCCTCCAGTCATGTTAGCTCGGGAATTCTGGGAGTTGAAGTCCACAAGTCTTAAACTTGCCAAGTTTGAAGACCCTCGGGTTAGAATAGTAGAGGTAGAAATTAGAAGTTGGAAGAATACTAGTATATACAAGTAAATCTTGTTATTATTATTGATATTATGTATAGGTAAATTGACCCAGACAATACACTTTATTAAGCACTCATGAATGTTGAAGAAAAATGTACAAATAAAATTATTATTTTTTAAAAGTAATCACTTGGCAACAGCTGACTCTACTTTATGGCCATGATCCCCTTTAGCAACCTTCTGATGAGCAAAGTCAGCGGGGAAGCCAGAGTCACTTGATAGTCGTGTGACTAACTTAATAACGCCAGCGATTCACTTAACAACTGTGGCAAGAAAGATCATAAAATGGGGCAAAACTCAGTGGAAATTTTGGGCTTAGTTGTAGTCGTAAGTCGAGATTTTGCCTATACGCGCGTATAAGCAGAATTAAATTTTGTATATAAAATCCTTTTTATGAATTGGAACTGTATATTTTATCTGATTTTTATGAATGGCTAGTGCAAATAGGCTATCATTTTGCTGTTCCTCGGAAACTTCTGAGACACATTGGAATAAACAGTTTAAATGTAGATAGTGGAAACGAAAAGAATTAAGGGCAGAGTTCACTAAGAATTTAGCCAATGTTTGGATTTATTCTATCCAGGTTTCCTTTGGGGACAATTGTCATCTTACTTTCTGTTTCCATTTCAAGGAGGCGCAAAGACAGACACGAGGCAAGTGGGTTTTCCAGACGGCCGGATCCAGATTCGGATGAAGATGAAGATTACGAGAGGGAGAGGCGGAAACGAAGTGAGAAACTCTCTTAGTTACCAAGCGCATGCATGAATCAAACTCTCTTGTCTCACGTAACCTGTGGGTGTCTGGTAGCATCTTCTCTAAACAATAAATTTTATTTAAAAGTTTTTTGTGAGCTGCAACATACTTTGCAGAAGATGTCTGCCTTTTAATAAAAAAATTGTTAGAAAATGTACTACCAGGCTCCTCCTGATTTTTGACCACCATAGATTGTCTTCCTAAATTTTCTCAAGTGGATATAGATGAGATCTCCCCCTTTACTGTGGACTTCTAACCCATCTACATCCCCTTGAAGCAGCAGAGGCCCATCAAGCTAGTACCTCTCCTTCCTGGCCTGATTTTTATTTGGTGCCTTCTCATTTATGAAAGGTTTTGTCTGACTACATCAGCAGCCCTGCAGTGCACCAGCTTATGGGGACAATAGAAACCCAGAAAAGCTGGCTTCCCTACTCCGCTCAAATCAGGGATGGTCAAGCACGAAGAATCAGGAGCATTGGCAAGGTGGCAGCCTAGAAGATTTAGTCAATCTTATACACTGGAATCTGGTTAACTAAAGTTCCACTCTAAATTGGTGCCAGATAAGGGTTAGCAGAATTCACGAAGGACCGGAGTCGGATTGTTTGTGGCAACACAAGGATTCTAAGCTAATGACTTGTTTAACTCTGTCCCCACCAACTCTGCCTGCTCTTCTCTTACATCGCTAACCCGTTCCAAAAATTGTGTTCTTTTTCAGCCCAAAGCTTAATGGCCCATTTATGGCTACCATGAGAAACAGCTATGATTCACAGCAGGGTGAACCCTGGAGATTGTCAATCATCTCAGGGGCCTGCTTGGGAATTGGTCATAGACCACGGGTGGGCAAACTACGACCCGCAGGCCACATCCGGCCCGTTGGTCTTTTTAATCCGGCCCGCCGAAGATTGGTACAGAATTAAGGTTTGATGTGAATGATTGAATGATTGCATTCATTTGATTTTGACTTGTAATGACAGGCATTTCGACACCAGGTGGCGGCCCGTCTGTCAAATTTTAAAAGTCAATGAGGCCCCCGAGCCAAAAAGTTTGCCCACCCCTGTCATAGGCCCATTAATTTTTTGAGTGATCTAAGTGTCTATGGAAGAAGTTCTCATTATTCTAACTACCTAGATTTTTAATGCAGCAAGCTTTGCAGCAAAAAACCCCAAACAAACCACAACCAAGAATTGTGGCCTTTTTTAACAAAAAAATTTTTTTATTGAATATACAACTAAAATAATGAACAAACACATACACAACATAGAAAAAAAGTGGGGGGAAAACCACAGAAAATAAACAAACAAAAACAAGCAATTCCGTTATCGACAGTTTGTGGTTCCTTATTTGTTATCATTATTGGTGTCATATTTACAAATAAGTCTTAATGTGAGTATGTACCTACCTCCTTTACAATTTAATCATATTTACTAATATATTCTCTATCTTTGTTCTACCCAGTTATACCAACATTCCCAGCTTTTGTAATATTCTGATGATTCTTTATCCTTAAGTGCTAGGGTCAATTTATCCATCTCTGCACAGGTTGCTATTTTCCGAATAATCATTTCCTCTGTTGGAATGTCAGCTTGTTTCCACAGTGTTGGAAACACGAATTCTGGCCTTTTAAAGATGAATACATTTATGATATAATAGCTTTCATAGACTAATTTTATTTTACTTCTCTTTTTTCTTATACAGGTATGGGAGGAGCTGCCATCGCGCCACCTACTTCTTTGGTTGAGAAGGACAAAGAACGTACGTACGCATGTAGATAATTTTTCTTTAAATTGCAGGTAGTCCTCGACTTAGGACCATATCAGCCTAGAGTCACCTCACAGTGAGATGGGCAGCAAACAAACATAAATAAATAAATGGACCCTGGAATTTCCAGCGTAAATCTTTATGGTCATAAGTCGAGGCACTTACATCACTGGACCCAATTTTATGACTTTTTTGTGACATTAAGGAAACACTATGGTGGTTATAAGCAAATCCATGTATTTGCTATGAGACTTTTTTTGCTGGGAACCAGAAACTTGGGGGGGGGGGGGTTGGAAATTAACTGGCTGTAAAGATAAGCCAGTTGCCAAGTGTCCAGAATGTGGTTGTGTGACCCTTGAGATATGTGCAGCCGTTGGAACTCTGGAACCAGGTCATAAATAGCTTTTGATGAGTCCATTGTAGCCGTTCAGTCGCTAAGCAAGAACTACCTGTCGTCATTCTGGTTTTAAGGATCTAGTTCCAAAACCATGCAATTGCTTTGGACATCTGCCACGGCTCGATTAATTGGCATCCAGCAATGCCAAGAAGCAAATTGCAATGTTTCATAAATAGAGATCTTTAACTGTGGGAACGCTTGAAAGGGATCCTGAGTTCCGAAGTACTTTGGGGTTAATAATTCTCAGACTGAAAAGCAGGCGTGAAACATACCTACAGATTTGATCGTTGGAAGGACACGAAGGGATGTAGGAATGAGGTAGTGGGATCCTGAAGTCCATTTTAAATGCTGTCTTGTGTTTTATAGCTCTTGAGAGCTGCTTTGTTAGCTTGCAAAGAGTGTGTTAGCCATAAATTAGACAAGAGACAGAAGGAAAGGAAAAGAAAGAAAGGAAAAGAGAAAGAAGGAAGGAAGGAAAAAAGAGAAAGAAAAAGATAGAAAGAAGCTGTCACTAAAGGGATTCTGTCTCAATAGGGCAGTGTTGGAGGCCCTTAAAATAAAACTGCTATTTACCAGGGAAGGGGAGGGAGGGAGAGAGAGAGAGAGAAAGAGAGAGAAAGGAAGGAGGGAAAGGTAGGTAGGTAGGTAGATGTGACTGATTAGATAAAGGGATTCCATCTCATAAATAGGGCAGTGATGAAGGCCCTTAAAATAAACCTATATTTTTGTAGAAGAGAATAGAATTCTTTATTGGTCAAATGTGATTGGACACACAAGGAATTTGTCTTCGGTGCATAAGCTCTCAGTGCACATTAAAAAAATACATTCATCAAGAATCATAAAATACAACACTTAGTGATAGTCATAGGATACTAAATAAGCGATCAAAATCATAACTAGGAAACTAAATAAGAACAATATAAATTGTAAAGATATTTGCAAGGTCCAATAAAGCATCGGAATCGATGTTGAGAGATTTTTGCCTTGATGATGGTAAAACGTCCCGTCTTCTTTTCCACAGCTTTATCCCCCTACGAGGAAGAGTCAAGGCCTCGTGGTTCATCATCCAAGGCTGCCATTCCTCCCCCGATGTACGATGAGCCTGAGAGACCTCGTTCCCCAACCGGGCCCAGCAATTCCTTCCTCGCAAACATGGGGTGAGCCTCGGGCAAACTTCCCGCAAAAGACCACTAGGGGGCAGTAGTGAAACGCATTAGGAATTGAGAATATTTCACCAGAAGTTGGGATTCTCAACCTGGGCATCAGGGCGGTTGTGTGAATGTAAAAAGTTCGGAAACACTTTCTGCTAACCAGGGCTTGGCCTGCTGCTCTCCGAGGTACTGTCCTGGGGCAAGCGATTGGACTGAGATCCCTAAGATTGTTGATGCAACTAATTGCTACTCTCAAGCCATTAAAATATGGTGATGCAGTTAGCTCACAGGTTTGTCTTCTTTGCCCTCATTTCACTCGAGATCCTGGCTAATTCTGGAGGATGCACTGAGTCCAGAGATGGAAATTGCATCTGGGCTCTTGTGGAGGAGGAAAGAGAAAATAGCAACACAATGAAGAAGAGATTTTAAACGTTTTAAACCAAAGTTTACCCTTGGAAACCAAACCCTTTAAAAGGTCCCCAAAGGAGATCACACGATGTAGGGACACAACAACCATTATATATATATATAGATACAGATATAGTCAGTTGCCAAGCAGCTGAATTTTGATCACGTGACCGGGGGGGCTGCTGCAACAGTTTTTAAAACACTCATAAGTCCCTTCTTCCAGTTGCCGTTGCAACTTTTTATTTATTTATTTATTTATTTATTTGTCAATCACTTACAAGAAAATAGGTATAAGTATAAACATGAGTAGGAATACAGGAAATAGGTACGAATAAATGGGGACAATAGGACAGGGACGGGAGGCACAATGGTGCGCTTATGCACACCCCTTATAGACCTCTTAGGAATGGGGTGAGGTCAATAGTGGATAGTTTGAGGTTAAAGGAGTGGGGGTTAGAGGATGTAACAACAGAGTCAGGTAGTGCATTCCAGGCATTGACCACTCTGTTGCTGAAGTCGTACTTCCTGCAATCGAGTTTGGAGTGGTTAACATTGAGTTTGTATCTGTTGTGCACTCTAGTGGTGGTGGTGGTGTTAAAGCTGAAATAACTTGGAACAGTCACTAGAATAACAGAATTGGAAGTGACCTTGGAGGTCTTCTAGTCCAACCCCCTGCTCAAGCAAGAGACCGTATACAATGTCAAGATACACGTTTGTCCAAACCCTCCTTAAAAACTTCCAGTGTTGGAGCACCCACAACTTCTGAAGGCAAGCAGCAAGCAGGTGGATCGTTCTCCCTGTCGAGAAGTTTCTCCTTAGTTCTAGGTTGACTTCTCCCCTTGGTGAGTTTCCATTCACCAAATGAACTGTTGCAAGTCGGGGACTCGGCTGCCCTTTAAGAGAGCCCTCCAACCACGCCCGCGGGACTTGGTGGGCTCAGCTCATTCTCCCTTCTTGTCTCCAGAGGCACGGTGGCGCACAAGATCATGCAGAAGTACGGCTTCAGAGAAGGGCAGGGTCTGGGGAAGCACGAACAGGGCCTGAGCACCGCCCTCTCGGTAGAGAAGACCAGCAAGAGGGGAGGCAAAATCATCGTTGGAGACGCTGCTGATAAAGGTAAGTTAGGGAGGCCTGGTGGGGTGAGGTGGGAGAGGGGTAGCCAAGGTGACCTTTTAACTACCATGTCTCCAGGGAAGGTGGTTGCTATAGGGCAGGGGTGTCGTCAAACTCGATTTTATTGAGGGCCGCATCAGGGCTGTGGTTGACCTGCAAGGGGGTGGGGGGAAGCAACTGGGTGGGCATGGCCAGCTTGATGCCACTTACCAAACTGCTGGCATGTTTCCTCTTTTCATTGGGTAGACCGGGCCGAAACCACGCTGGCCCAATGTGTCCTCTTCACAACGGGTAGACCAGGCCAAAGCAATGTGGACTGGCCTCTTTAACACTTTCCAGAATGGCCCCGCAGGCCTTGAGTTTGACACTCTTGCTGTAGGGATAACACAACAGAGTGCTGGACCAATCGTGGCCGTTTTAACTATTAAAGGCTCCATCGCTTTCCTTCGATCGGTCTTAACATTCGCTTCGTGTCCTCGTGTAACTGTCCTGACCAAGGCTTCCGAGACCGTAATTAAGCACACGCACGGTTAAAACAGCTCTTGTTTTATTTCAGCGTTTGGGAATGACGTTCGTTCCCAGCCTGTAATGAGTCCCAAACAGTCCCTTCGAGATAAGCACTCACCTTTCTCTCCTTTGAATTGCTGCCAACAACTAGGGTGCCAAATGAATTATAAAAAAAACCAACCGAAGTACAAAGTCCACACAGAACTTCAAGGATTAATCCGAAGAGGGTGATCGATGTTGCTTCCTACAAAGCTTTCTTCACCTTTGCACTTCCTTTATCACTTAGGGGAAGGGCAATCACCTCCAAGCCTTACTCCCGAGTCGCCCCTTTTGTCTCAGCTGCTCTCGCCTTCTGGCAGCTCTGCGCACCTGCGCACTGGGAACAGACTCCCCTTGTTCCTCTGCCTCGCTGCTGCCAGGCTCCGAAGGCTACACTCCACTCCCAGATGGTCCTGGCCCCATCTCTGTATCGGACTGTCCAATTCCGCTGCGGTCTGCACAGGCTGCCAGTGAACCACAACAGTAACAGGTTTCAGCAAGCTTGATCTTCTGAAGCCTTTTTTTGTGAGTTGTGTTAATTGAAAGTTTGGCCCGTGAGTCAAATTATAATCCTTTCCCTTTGGCCCCTCTGGAAGCTGTAAATCTTTGTCTTGACAATCCAGAAGGCTCCTAGCTTCACCACATGGAAAGAAAGTTGTCGGGCTTTCGTGCCTGACAAGAGGACGACAGCAGTAAAATGGGGAGCGATTCCCTCCTTCCTTTTAAACAGATGAACAATTTCTTTCTGCAGTTCCTGCTTTTATGTAAGGAGGAAGACTCTGGTTATTTACGATGGCTTTTCAGTGCTGCTAAGCTCTAACATCTGCTAGTTAGGTTATATCATTTCAGCTTGATGTATCAAATCATATATTTTCCCAACTCGGAAGGACATCAGGGATTATCAGAAACAGCTGGCTTTTTAAAAATCTGGATTCTGCCCTGCATTAAGTGCTGATATTAATTCCCTGGAAGGAAAATGTCAGATAAAATGCAGACAATTCATTGTCAAAGTGATGTTAAATGGGTTTTTTAAATAACTTTGCCATTATCTACATATATATAAAAGCAAAATACCATTCATGCATCATCACAAAATCTCCACAATTGTAAAGCCTACAAACTTGAAGTGTGACACGTATATTCCTCTTGGCTTCTAGGGGCTCACTAAGAAAGGATTTTTCGAAATGACCATCAGAGCATTAGTATTTCCTATATTATTATTATTATTATTATTATTATTATTATTATTATTATTATTATTA